CACTGCAGGTACGAAGCCTTGCTCACTTTTTATGCAATAAATAGCATCATTTTAACCCTTTGACGACAATGCGGATTTGCACGTAGCTTGCTCGTGGGACCACGCCTGTTTTTGGCGCGCCCAACTCTCGCTCACAATTAGGCAAAATTGTCCTTCAAAGCAATTTTTCTGTAGAATTTTCGACTCTAACAGTATACCAGTATAACTGCAGTTCTAGGCTTTCATGCTGAATTATTTTCAAGAGAATTCCCAATTTGGACAGGGAACTCGCGTTCCAAAGGGAAGGAGGGCAAAACCTTCAAAAATTTTAAGTGTCCAAGAGAGTTTCCGGTACACTTTCAAACCCCTTCCTGTATCTGAGGGCTATGAGAAGACGAAGAAGTCCTGATTAGTAATTAATCTTCGGCCTAATAATTTAAAACCCCAATTAATATGGTGGCGAGCTAAATGGCACATTCTAAAATTCTATATAAATTAGCTCTTAGTAAACATTTCTGTAAGTCGTGCTAGCCAGATATTATGGAACTTGCTTATAATTATTGGGGTGTTACAAATGTTTTAAATGCACAAAGAAGAAATTTTAAGGTGGCACCCACCATTGGGTGCCATTGTCCCACGCGACGAACATAGTGGCACCCACCATTTCGTCAAAGGGTTACTACTACTAGGTATTGGGTGCTACTATAACGAGGAGAGGGTAGAAAAGCGCTACAAGAAAGGGTAGGTGAGAGGACCGGGGCGACGGACTTTTGGCTCGTCCGGGTTGGCACGCGGCAAATTGCGCGGCGAGCGGCGCGGCGCGGCGATCCCGACGCATCGCGGGAATTCAACACGTCAACGTGTGGAGATTGCGGATAAAATCCGCAAGGTTCTGCAATACGAAATACATCTGAACGGCTGGAATTTTGAGGACAGCGGTGGTTGTAACAGTAGAAAGAGATAAGAAGGAACTAGCGTAGTGCTGTTACGGCAATCAGGGCGCTCATGTCTTTGGGGGGGGGGGACGTTCCATTAGGGGGAAGTGAGTGAGCCAATCACTGTGTTTGGGACGAGACTTAGGGAGGAGAAGGGATTCTGGGGGAAGTAATTTGTGTTCTCTCCTGGCGTTCCTCTCCTGTGCTGGGCTTAGTCCTAGTGACCTACCGTCGACCCTGTTTTTGTTGTTTTGTTTCGAATGTTTCTCCTTTGACGTGAGCGCCTCGATCAGCAAAACATATATAGTTGACGTTAAATACCTCAACAAAAACTCCCAATTTTAGTGACTCTTATTTGCTTTGATGGTAGTAGTGACATTTACATGAATGCCCTCACTCAACTCCTTGCGCTGGATTCTCCTCACCGATACTGCTGCTTCCAACCCCGCGAGCGGAAAGATTTTCAAACAGCAGAACCATGTGGAGTTTATCCGCAATCTGCACACGCATTGACGTGTTGAATTCTACCCGAAGAAACCGCGAAGCCTTGTCCCGTCCAGATCGCCGCGCGTGCCGCCGCGCAACTCGCCGCGTGACAGTCCGGACGAGCCAAAAGTCCCGCACCCGGACGACCAGGTCAAAATAGTGGGGTCATAGATTTCTCACTTGTATACGGTTAGAGGGACTTGATTTTGCTGCCCAGACCACAATACGTGTGTTTCATTTTCAGTAGCTCACTCACATATCTCTGGTGTTTGATTTTGAATAACTGTTTATGGAATTATTTTACAGCTTCATGAATTTTTACCGTCTCTGATGAGCTGCATGTTGGGCAGAATCTTGTGCACACGGCCTGATTCTGACAATCACTGGGCGTTAAGGGATTTCGCTGGCAAGACTCTGATCACCATAATAAAGTACGTCATGCAATTCATCAATTTAAAATGTAAAACCTGTTTATTTGGGTGGTAAGTTTTTGGAATCTAAGGGATACATCTACAATATCTCCTACTGGTATGTTCGTCAATACATCTGGATATAGAGAGCGTATAACTTTATGTTAATCGATGCAGCTTTTCAGAGATCATGGGACCAAAGAGACTAGACGACGATCGTTTCGTGCTGTGAAGCGAATATTTGACGACCCGTCGTCGAGTTATTCGATGATCTATGGAACTATCACAACTCTCCTCGAGTTTGCGTCACCGGTGGAGGTGAGTATGGCGTTGAGTGTGTGACCAATACAGCATCACTTGTATTAGTTAAGGATGTCAGATTTCTTATCTCGATATTTCAAGCTGATCCGGTTACATCCTCGAATTATGGCGTTGCTTGAGCGAACTCGCACTGCTGCGGCTACAAGTGCTGACCAGCAAGAGCGTATTGAAGCCCATAAATTGCACGCTGCTCTCACGGTAACGTTCTGTACATTTCGAAGGTCCGCTACTGAACAGAGTTCCACAGAGGCTATGGTTGCCTTTTCATCAGAAAGCGTACTTACAATCAACACATTGCGAACCTACGGTTTTCCTTTTTCAGAGAACATGAGCCGGCCTTGCGTCGACTTATCAAGCAGGCGGCACAGGCGTCGAAAAAGGACCACCCGAAAGGATATGTTTGAACTTATGACTGTTTTATACACACCTTGAATTGTATTTGTATTTAAATGTGTGGCTGTACATTCTTGTAATGATGTGATTGCTGTTTCTCTGCTATGTTCAAATTTTATTACTCATTCTAATTATCCCAATGCCTATTGGTTCTACGGTTTTTTTTTTCAATTTTAATGTTAGGAGAAGAATCCCATGTTGTTTCTTCACATTGGATTCGAATTTGAGCTGTGGTTTAATAGTGTGCAAGGAAATGTTGCCAATGAACTCTTAAACGTATCAACAGATAGTAGTGAATTCCTTAGGTTGAAGTCTCTTGCGAAGTTGGGAGATTCTGTGCACCATCTTAGTAGAATAGTTTCACAAATTGCTGTAGTAGATATGTAAAAATAAATCTATGTGAATATGTTCGCACGCGCTTTATTTCAAAGTCATTTCAGTCGGTTTTCGCTTGGACGTGGATTTTCCGTTTAGGAAGTTTACCAAGATTTGCAGGCGGGTCCATACGTACCCAAGAGCTGGGGAGAATTCCATCTGAGCTAATAAGGTTGCTGGTCAGAAATTCGTCACGGAGCCGCAAGGGATTCACTGTCCGAGGGCACCTCCTATTGTGGTATCAAAAGTACAAATGAAGCATTGACTTTTTGCCAACGAGGCAATTTTTCTGTGCCTTATTAGATATCCAGGAAAGGTCTTTTTGACAGTTCTAATTTGTGTGCATTCTGATTTTTTTTTGGCAGTTTGTTACATTTTATATGGTTTTAGAAAGCGTTCTGCTCTGTTGAAAATACTGCCGGCTTTGCTTTGGAACAGTGAAGCTTCTCATGTGAGGTCGACGGTGATACGATGAAGAGAAATGGCCTTACTAGAAGATGAAAAACGGTGAGAGCACGTCGTACGCGAGAGGGCGCAGACGCCACGTATGCGATTGATGAGGGTGACAGTGGTCACGTTCAAGCGAAATCATTAGCTCGTTTGTTGGAGTTTTTGCAACTGCTACAGTACCATCACTTCTGTGATTAGAAGTACTTGCTACCGATCAATGGATATTTCTGCGTGGATCCCGCGACTACTGCTTAAGACTCTCCTTGGGCTCTGATAAAACAAAAGAACCGCCTCCTCCGAATCTGTCCTCGGTTGGTTTTTTTCGAAAAAAACAAAGAACTCGCTCCTCCCGAATCTGTCCCTCTGTTTTTTTTTCGAAAAAATCACTAAAAAGAAAGTTATGAATGTTCAAGTACGTTCATCAAGTCTTCATTAGTGAGAAAAACGTGCTCTCACGCGTTTTTCATCTTTCGCAAGAATATGTCTCTTCGTCGTACCACTGTCGACCTCACATGAGAAACTTTACTGTTTCCTATAGTGCTTTTTGCATTTTTATCAGTAACATTTCCCTCCACAATTCTCATTTGATTTTGGATAAAAATTGCACACGATTTTTTTATGCTTTATGTTCGGCTAACGCGAGTTCTGGCTTTATTTTGGCGCACCAAGTGCAGTTCAAATAAATAAATAAATAATTCAACCGCGACCTGTGCTCTTAAGGCTCACTAGTTTAGGAATCCTCTTACTGAGGAACATGATGAAACAACCTTCGAACTATTTGAAAAATCAGAAGCCTATATCCTACACGACGCTCTTCCGATCTAGAACTTCAAAATAACTGAAGAACATTACTTTCTCGTACCCAATACGAATCGAAGCACCTCACGATAAACGTTTTTTTGGTCCTCATTTGCGACGAACATTTGATCTCCCTTCAGAAATACAGTTATGTTTGAAGTGAATTATATTTACAATACCGCCACTAACTTTTGAAATTTCTCCGCTGAGCGACGGATTTGCAGCGTCGCAAAGCGTCGCCCCTTCATAACTCCCCCCAAAGCGGGTCAAATGATTGGTGCTCTACACCATTGGACTCGTCTCTCTGTGGCGAGTCTAACCATGTGGAAAACTACGGTACTCGCCGTAAAAAATCGAAAAAAACACGCGAAAAACGCGAATTCGCGTTTCTTTTTCGTTTTTTCGTTATAACTCGCTTCAGAATTAAGATTTTCAAAATCTGAAAAAAGCATTGAACTCAGCTCGTCGAGTTCTATAAGAATATGCTTTTAAACTTTTGGAAAGCCCTACTTCAGATTGCGCCATGCACTCGAGCTTTGGCTCGAGAAAAAATTGTTTGAATGTGGTGCGCATATAATCCCGCTTATGCATCATGATCGTTCTTCAGAGAGATGGGTCTCAGCAGTTGCCCCAGAACGCGCCGCGTATTCAACATCGTCCATTGTATTGTGAATGGATCGATTGCTTTTTTCCAGATTTCATGGTCCCTATTCCATAGCGGCGCGTTAAATGACTTAACATGTACATGACTGCGCTCAACATCTCCTCCTCTCGTGTTCAAATGGAAATCATAGATCATTTTTCAGCAGGACAGTTAGCCTATTTGGTGAAATTTTCCAATGTTTGAGCGAAGGTTTTTCCGAAATCTGAGGAGGTAGCGGGGAAATTTCTTCACAGTTGTAGAGTACGCTTACTTGTGTGTAGGAATAAGATCACACACTTGCTTGCAGATGACCGCTCCCTCCGTGCGTGCTGTGGCCATGAACATGCCTCCTCGTCATGCCCTAGCCTATTTGGTGAAATTTTCCAATGTTTGAGCGAAGGTTTTTCCGAAAACTGAGGAGGTAGAGGGGAAATCTCTTTACTGTTGTAGAGTACGCTTACTTGTGTGTAGAAATAGATGACATACTTGCTTGTAGACGAGCGCTTCCGCCGTGCTGTGGCTGTGAAAATGCCTCCTCGTCATGCCCTTGTGGAAAGATCAGATTTTTTGCATTTCCAGATGAACTCGCAGACCTGAGAATGTGCCCCGTTAGCTTCCCCGTGAAAAATGCTATCGAATGATATGCATTACTTCCCCAGTTGAAACTTTGGTTTTTCACCGTTTTCAGCCTTCCCCTATTGCCGGATTGGGCCCCACGATTACTGCCCCAAAATCTCAAAGTTTCATTTTTCGTCGAAACTTTGCCTATTGGGGTAATTCGATGCCCTGATTACGAATATGACATTCATTCTCGTAGTGTGGCCCCAAACATCACACCTCGCCCCATTTTTTGCGACATGTTCCATGTTTAGAGCAGATGTTATGTAGAAAGCTGTGAAGGCAGCGACGAATTTCCTTTACTGGCGTAGACTACGGTCACTTGTCTGTAGGAATTACATAGAAACCTGGTGGCAGGTGAGTCTTCCTTCCGTAGTGTGACCCCAAACATCACACCTCGTCATGCCCTTGCGATATGATCAGATTTTTTTTGGTTCTCCAGATGAACATAGAAGACTGAGATGTGCACCATTCAATTCCCCATAAAAAATACTGTCGAACGGTATACAACTCACTTTCTGGAGAACATCTAGTTTACCTGCCACTAGATCCATTTTGTGACATTTCCCAATTTTCGAAGGGATGTTTTGAGGAAATTCGAGAAGGGAGGGACGAACTCTCTTCCCTATCGTAGAGTAAGTTTACTTGTATGTTGGAAAAAGATGATACACTCGGGCTTGAGCGAGTGTTTCTTCCCTGGTGTGGCCTCAAACATCGCTCTCCGTCATGCCCTGAAATAAAAACCAGATTTTTTGGTCTTCCAGGTGGCTCTACGGAGCTGTGGTGTACACCATTCGATTCTCCATGCAAAATGCTATCGAACGATATACATCTCAGTTCCCACTTGAAACTTTCGTTTTTCACCGTTTTCGGCCTTTTCCTTATCGCCGATCGCCTTCCTCAGCCCTGGCCACCCACGTGCTATTCACGTGCGCGGTGCGTGAGAGCTCACGTGACAGCCGATGGCCTTTCTCGGTAGCTGGCGGGCAGCCCGATCGATACACCGCTATGCGTGTCGAAAGTGCGTGGGAAAGTCACCACGCACCGCGCACGTGAATAGCACGTGGGTGGCCAGGGCTGAGGAAGGCGATCGGCGATAAGGAAAAGGCCGAAAACGGTGAAAAACGAAAGTTTCAAGTGGGAACTGAGATGTATATCGTTCGATAGCATTTTGCATGGAGAATCGAATGGTGTACACCACAGCTCCGTAGAGCCACCTGGAAGACCAAAAAATCTGGTTTTTATTTCAGGGCATGACGGAGAGCGATGTTTGAGGCCACACCAGGGAAGAAACACTCGCTCAAGCCCGAGTGTATCATCTTTTTCCAACATACAAGTAAACTTACTCTACGATAGGGAAGAGAGTTCGTCCCTCCCTTCTCGAATTTCCTCAAAACATCCCTTCGAAAATTGCGAAATGTCACAAAATGGATCTAGTGGCAGGTAAACTAGATGTTCTCCAGAAAGTGAGTTGTATGTACGTGGTGACAGGGTACCTACGAGAATGAATGTCATATTCGTAATCAGGGCATCGAATTACCCCAATAGGCAAAGTTTCGACGAAAAATGAAACTTTGAGATTTTGGGGCAGTAATAGTGGAATAATGATGCCCAATCGGCAATAGGGGAAGGCTGAAAACGGTGAAAAACCAAAGTTTCAACTGGGAGGAGTAATGCATAACATTCGATAGCATTTTTCACGGGGAATCCAATGGGGCACATCTCAGGTCTGCGAGTTCATCTGGAAATGCAAAAAATCTGATCTTTCCACAAGGGCATGACGAGGAGGCATTTTCACAGCCACAGCACGGCGGAAGCGCTCGTCTACAAGCAAGTATATCATCTTATTTCTACACACAAGTAAGCGTACTCTACAACTGTGAAGAAATTTCCCCGCTAATTTTCCGACGCTTTCGAGTGCATGGCGCAATCTGAAGTAGGGCTTTCCAAAAGTTTAAAAGCACATTCTTATAGAACTCGACGAGCTGAGTTCAATGCTTTTTTCAGATTTCGAAAATCTTAATTCTGAAGCGAGTTATAACGAAAAAACGAAAAAGAAACGCGAATTTGCGTTTTTCGCGTGTTTTTTTTTCGATTTTTTACGGCGAGTACCGTAGTTTTCCACAT